AAGAGGCATAAGAGACTAAAAAATCAGGGCCAAAAAATTTCAGACCTTATATTTATATTAATAAGTCATCACCGTAGATGTTAGGTTTAGAAGATCAAATGGACCAGAGCAACACACTTGTATCAAAGGATTTTGGGTCGGCTTAAGAGTCCATCACAATGCGTTATTAGGCAAGGGCTTAGTAGTATCTGTTGGGTCATCTATTTTTATCATCATAGCCCAAATGGGCTGGTCTACCAAAAAATAATTTGGCATCATAGCCCAATAGTTGATTTGATTAATGGACTAAAAACCTGATTTTACCTTCAAAAATACACTATAATGCACAAGACACAGATCTAACTAAATCTACATAAGAACATATGAAGTTAAGGGCTATAGTAATAAAAATAGCATAATCGTAGTTGTAGGAAAAAAGGGAGTACGTAGTAGTAGTTTAACATGAACATGTTAGCCCAAACCTGATATTAGAATGAGAAATGAAGAAAGAATAAATAGGGACACAACAATCCCCAAATACTTAGGCCTATACTTAGGCCAGAACCAAGATAACATTTAAGTAGTTATATATACGTTATCATAAAAGGGAACCAAGTGTAAGAATTCAATTACATTGCCATCAAGAAAATATATAGAATAAAATTCAAAACTAATTAAGGGTGAATGAGAATTAAAGTCAAAAGATGACCATTTGAAGTTGAAATAAATTGGGAATAAAAATTGGTGGGAAATTGGAAAGTGCCAATCCCATATAGGAAAACTAGAAGAATAGAAATCACTTTATATAACTCAAGTTAAGGATTTGGGTTTGGGCCCAAGGAGTACCACTAGTCTTTAGATGGGAGAGGACCTACATGCTAGTAGGTTCAACTAAAGCCCACACGTGTGCGCAGCAGTCGCTGTCCATCTGATCGGCCGGCTGGGCTCGACACAGCACAAGCACGGGTCCGGATCCGGGCCCGGGACTTGGGCTTGGCCCAGTTGGTATTTATATTTTTTGGTAAAATAATATTTTAAATTATATTATTTATTAATTAAATAATATATTTTTATTATATTATTTATTTTTTCTTCCCCGAATTTTCTGTGCGAGACACGTGGATTTTTCTAGAAACTGGCGGTTGGTGACTGTTTTAACTATATGTCCAAATGGGCTATGTCTGTTCCAAGACACAACCTTCGATTGTTGTGTCTTTTGGACATAACCTTTCAACTTCTATAAATAGACCCCAGATCCCCAATTTTTATTCACTTCAAAAAATTTATTCTACTTCTTTTCTCCTGCAATATTGTCCTTCCATCTTGTAGTATTCCATATATTTGCATTTCAATCCCAAATATTATTTTCGTGCATTTTAATCCTCCGATTCTCGAGAGATCGAATATTAGTAGATTCGTCAGATCTTGTAATTTGAAGTACTACTATTACAAGTTGAGGTCATTGTATCTTAGGAGACGAGTGCCAGGAGACCGTTAGCACGAGTGCGGGGCATTTTCGTCTTAAGGAGAAAGAGTTGAACTCTTGTCTTGACCATTATTCATTCTAATTTATTGCCCTAATTTTGTAAGTCGAAATTCTGCCAGAATATTTATTCATTACCGCAGGACATTCTCAAATATTTTCAACAACCTTAAGACGAAATTTTTTTATTTACGTGCTAATTTATATTCTAAAACTTTGTTAGACTATGACAAATAACAACACATCCGTCGTACCCTCAAACAATGCTCAGGGAGAGAAAAAATTCACAGGAGTGGATTTTAAAAAATGGCAATAGGAAATGCTGTTTTATCTCACAACTCTGATTTTGGCAAAATTATTGAGTGAAGATGCTCCAATTGTTGAGGAGGAAGAAACAGATTTTAAAAAACGAGCAACATTTGATGCATGGAGTCATAGTGACTTCCTATGTAGGAACTACATCCTCAATTATCTTGAAACACACTATACATCGTATACAATTTAGTCAAGACAGCTAAGTTACTGTGGGAATCATAGGAAAAGAAGTACAAAACGGTAGATGCCGGATTAAAGAAATTCGCTGTGGGCAAATTCTTAGATATCAAGATGATAGATTCTAAAACAGTGATGAATCAAGTCCAAGAGCTGCAAATCATCTTGCATGATATACATGCAGAAGGTATGAAGCTCAATGAGTCATTTTAGGTTGCCGCTATTATCGAGAAATTACCTCCAATGTAGAAATATTTCAAGAACTACCTGGAACATAAACGCAAGGAAATGGGACTTGAAGATCTGATTGTAAGACTAAGAATTGAGGAAGATAATTGAAATTTTGAGAAGAAGTCTGGAAAGTTGCATATGGAGGCTAAAGCTAATTTGGTGGAGCCAAATACTAGCAAAAAAAAAAAGAAAAAGAAAAAGAAAACACTTAGATAATGGCAAGCAAAAAATAAAGCTAAGAAACTCAAATGAAATTGTTATAACTACTGTAAGCCTGGTCACATCGCAAAGGATTGCCACTAAAAAAGCAAAACAAAAGTGACCAAGTACACTTGACCGAGGAAGACAAATTGTCTAACGGTGTGTCTGAACTAATGCTCTCAGCTGTCGTATTTGAAGCAAACATGGTAGACAATCCAAGAGAATGGTTCATAGACATAGGCACTCGACCAACCTCTTAAGGTTTTGATACCACTGTTACAAGAGTGACCCCAAAATCGACACCACCAAGTACAAGTTACAGACTCAAGACTATGGCATCAGGATCTCATAGATTTTAGGCTCAGATCCACCCTGTACTTGTCTTTACAAAGGATAAACTCACAAACCACATCCACTAGAACCCGACACAAAAATGGTTGCTTCAATGGTCCGAAAGACTCTCCAAGAAACCAACAGAAAACTTTTCACAACTTAAAATTGAAGAATCACCAAGATTCTACACACATTGAACCATCGAAAAACCAAGGGTTTACCAATTAAAGGGAGAGTTTCACCAAGAAGGAAAAGAGGCAGAGACACAAAGTCTTGAAGTGAGGAAACCCAGAAGATTCTACAGAAGACTCACGAAGAGGCACAAAAGACTAAAAAATTTAGGGCAAAAAAATCTCAGACCTTATATTTATATTAATAAGTGTCACCGTAGATGTTAGATTTAGAAGATCAAAAGGACCAGAGCAACACACTTGTATCAAAGGATTTTGGGTCAGGTTAAGAGTCCATTACAATACGTTATTGGGCAAGGGCTTAGTAGTATATGTTGGGTCATCTATTTTTATCATCATAGCCCAAATGGGCTGGTCCACCAAAAAATAATTTGGCATCACAGCCCAATAGTTGATTTGATTAATGGACTAAAAACCTGATTTTACCTTAAAAAATGCACTATAATGCCTAAGATATAGATCTAACTAAATCTACATAAGAACATATGAAGTTAAGGGCTATAGCAATAAAAGTAGCATAACCATAGTTGTAGGAAAAAAGGTAGTACGTAGTAGTAGTTTAAAATGAACATGTTAGCCCAAACCTGATATCAGAACGAGAAATGAAGAAAGAATAAACAATAAATAGGGATAAAACAATCCCCAAATACTTAGGCCTACACTCAGGCCAGAACCAAGATAACATTTAAATAGTTATATACGTTATCAGAAAAGGGAACCAAGCTTAAGAATTCAATTACATTGCCATCAAGAAAATATATAGAATAAAATTGGGGATATTGTGAGAGTCCAAGACAACTAAGAGATCGCAGTGTTGGAAAATTGGAATAATTAGTTTGTTTGACCAACTTTTGACCAATTATTTAAGTAGGTCCCATTAGCTGGATAAATGATTTATTTGGCCAAATGCATTCTACTCCATGAGTAGAATTGATATATGTATTTATTTCTCAAAACTAATTAAGGGTGAATGAGAAATTAAAGTCAAAAGATGACCATTTGAAGTTGAAATAAATTGAGAATAAAAATTGTTGGGAAATTGGAAAGTGCCAATCCCACATAGGAAAACTAGAAGAATAGAAACCACTTTATATAACTTAAGTTAAGGATTTAGGTTTGGGTCCAAGGGGTACCACTAGTCTTTACAGGGGAGAGGACCTACATGCTAGTAGGTTCAACTAAAGCCCACACGTTCACGCCGCAGCAGTCATCCGTCCTATCGGTCGGCTCGGCTTGGCACGACACGAGCTCGGGTTCGGGCCCGGGGCTTGGGCTTAGGCCAGTTGGTATATATATTTTTGGAAAAATAATATTTTAAATTATATTATTTTATTAATTAAATAATATACTTTTATTATATTATTTATTTTTTCTTTCCCGAATTTTCTGTGCGAGACACGTGGATTTTTCTAGAAATTGGCGGTTGGTGACAGCTTTAACTGTCTGTCCAAATGGGTTATGTCTGTTCTAAGACACAACCTTTCGACTGTTGTGTCTTTTGGGCACAACCTTTCAACTTCTATGAATAGACCCCATATCTCTAGTTTTTATTCACTCTAGAAAATTTATTCTACTTCCTTTCTCCTACAATATTGTCCTTCTATCCTGTAGTATTCCATATATTTGCATTTCAGTCCCAAATATTATTTTCATGCATTTTAGTCCTCCGATTCTCGAGAGATCAAATATTAGTAGGTTCGTCAGGTCTTGTAATTTGGAATGCTACTATTACAAGTCGAGATCGTTGTATCTTGGAAGACAAGTGTCAGGAGACCGTCAGCAATAGTGCAAGGCATTTTCGTCTTAAGGAGAAAGAGTCGAACTCTTGTCTCTACCATTATTCATTCTAATTTATTGTGCTAATTTTTTAAGTCGAAATTCTGCCAGAATATTTATTCATTACCGCACGACATTCTCAAATATTTTCAACAATCTTAAGACGAAATTTTTTTATTTATGTGCTAATTTATATTCTGAAATTTTGTTAGACTATGGCAAATAACAAGACATCCTTCGTACCTCCAAACAATGCTCAGGGGGAGAAACAAGAAAAATTCACAGGAGTGGATTTTAAAAAATGGCAATAGAAAATGCTGTTTTATCTCACAACTCTGAATTTGGCAAATTTATTGAGTGAAGATGCTCCAACTGTTGAGGTGGAAGAAACAGATTTTAATAAACGAGTAGCATTCGATGCACGGAGTCATAGTGACTTCCTGTGCAGGAACTATATCCTCAATTAACTTGACAACATACTATATAGCATATACAGTTCAGTCAAGACAGCTAAGTTACTGTGGGAATCATCGGAAAAGAAGTAAAAAACGGAAGATGCTAGATTAAAGAAATTCGTTGTGGAGAAAATTCTTAGATTTCAAGATGATAGATTCTAAAACAGTGATGAATCAAGTCTAAGAGCTGTAAATCATCTTGCATGATATATGTGCAGAAGGTATGAAGCTCAGTGAGTCATTTCAGGTCGTCGCTATTATTGAGAAATTACCTCCAATGTGGAAATATTTCAAAAACTACCTGGAACATAAACGCAAGGAAATGGGACTTGAAGATCTGATTGTAAGACTAAGAACTGAGGAATACAATCAAAATTTTGAGAAGAAGTTTGGAAAGTTGCATATAGAGGCTCAAGCCAATTTGGTAGAGCCAAATACTAGCAAAAAAAAGAAAACACTTAGGTAATGGCAAGCAAAAAAAAGGCTAATAAATTCAAAGGAGATTGTTATAACTAGGGTAAGTCTGGTCACATCGCAAAGGATTGCCACAGAAAAAGCAAAACAAAATGGACCAAGTACATTTGACCGAGGAAGATAAATTGTCTAGCGATGTGTCTGAACTAATGCTTTCAGCTGTTGTATTTGAAGCAAACATGGTCCAAGAGAATGGTTCATAGACACAGGCACTACTCGACATGTTTGTGCCGAAACGGAGATGTTTTCATCTTACACTCCTATCAATGGACGACAATTATTTATGGAAAACTCGACAACATCCAAAATTGTTGGTCTGGGTAAAGTAGTGCTGAAGATGACATCAGGAAAAGAAGTAACTCTCGTCAATGTGTAGCATGTTCCTGATATTCTCAAAATCTTGGTATCCGGAGCTTTGTTAAGCAAAAATGAGTTTAGGCTAGTCTTTAAGTCTGATAAGTTTATACTTACCAAAAGTGACATGTTTGTGGGCAAAAGGTACATAGCCAATGTGCTATTCAAAATGAATGTAATGCCTGTACTTCATAATTTTGATATTAATAAAATTAAATCTTCTGCTTACTTGATTGAGTCCTCTAACTTACAGCACGATAGATTAGAACATGTTAATATTAAAACTTTACGTAAATTAGTAAGTTTAAATCTATTGCCTTCAATTTCATTTCATCAATATCATCAATGCGAAACTTGTGTAGATGCTAAATTAGCTAAAACACCATTTCATTCAGTGGAAAGGAACTCAAATCCTCTAGAACTGACTTAAAGTTCATACAAACTAGAGGAGGAAAAAAGTATTTTATTACTTTTATAAATGACTGCACTAGGTACTGTTATGTATATTTGCTAAGAAGCAAAAATGAAGCTTTAGAAGCATTTAAGCAATGCAAGAGCGAGATTGAAAATCAACTTAGAAAACGAATAAAAGTTATACGTAGTGACAGAGGTGGAGAATATGGGGCACCGTTTGAAGAATTTTGTTCTGTTTCTGGGATTATTCATCAAACCACAGCACCGTATTCACCTCAGTCAAATGGTATTGCTGAACGCGAAAATCGTACTCTTAAAGAATCAGAATGCTATGTTAATCAGTTCTGGTTTACCTCAGAACTTGTGGGGGGAAACAGTTCTCTCAGCAAACCACATTTTAAATAAATTACCACACAAAGGTAAGAACGAAATGATTTAAGTGGGTCCCGTTAGTTGGATAAATGATTTATTTGGCTAAGTGCATTCTACTCCATAAGTAGAATTGATATATGTATTTATTTCTCAAAACTAATTAAGGGTGAGTGGGAAATTAAAGCCAAAAAATGACCACTTGAAGTTGAAATAAATTAAGAATAAAAATTGGTGGAAAATTGGAAAGTGTTAATCCCACATGGAAAATTAGAAGAATAAAAACCACTTTATATAACTCAAGTTAAGAACTTGGGTTTGGGCACTAAAGGGTGCCACTAGTCTTTAGAGGGGAGAGAACTTACATGCTAGTAGGTTCAACTAAAGCCCACACGCGTGAGTCGCAACCGCCATCCATCCGATCAGCCGGCTCTGCTCGGCATGGCACGAGCACGGGCCGAGGCCCGGGTCTGGGGCTTGGGCTTGGGCTTGGTCCAATTGGTATATATATTTTTGGTAAAATAATATTTTAAATTATATTATTTTATTAATTAAATAATATATTTTTATTATATTATTTATTTTTTCTTCCCCGAATTTTTTGTGCAAGACATGTGGATTCTTCTAGAAATTGGCGGTTGGTGACAATTTTAACTGCCTGTCCAAATGGATTATGCCTGTTCTAAGACACAACCTTTCGACTGTTGTGTCTTTTGGGCACAACTTTTCAACTTCTATAAATAGAACCCAGATCCCCATTTTTGATTCACTCCAGAAAATTTATTCTACTTCTTTTCTCCTGCAATATTGTCCTTCTGTCCTGCAGTATTCCATATATTTGCATTTCAGTCCCAACTATTATTTTCGTACATCTTAGTTCTCTGATTCTCGAGAAATCAAATATTAGTAGGTTCGTCAGGTCTTGTAATTTGGAGTGCTACCATTACAAGTCGAGGTTGTTGTAACTTGAGAGACGAGTGCCAGGAGACCATCAACACCAGTGCGAGACATTTTCATCTTAAGGAGAAAGAGTCTAACTCTTGCCTCGACCATTATTCATTCTAATTTATTGCGCTAATTTTGGAAGTCGAAATTCTGCTAGAATATTTATTCATTACCGCACGACATTCTCGAAGATTTTCAACAAGCAGTAGGGAGAAGGGACAATAAAATTCTTCGTGCATTTCTCAAGATTAATTTGATGCACGTACAATCAAGTTTGCCTGTCAATCAGGACAGTAAAACCTGATTGGAATTTTGCTTAACATAGAAATTTCAGCAACTTGAGAGGGAAAATATCAAGAAACCACATTCGAGCAGTGGAAAAGCTAATCCAGTTTGTCCCCTTCCTCAGCTTCAGTACTGGCAGGTGGTGCTGCACGATATAAGAAGCTGCTTTATGAAGTTGAAGCACTCCTTGGAACAGAAGTAGCTTTTTCTTCCTTCAAGGAATCCATTCTCAGTTCCCATCCATAAACGCATAATCCATGTGTTTTAAAGTAAGTTGATTTAAAACTTGTTCTGTAGTGATTATGAGAATTGATTTTTTGACCGATAGAGAGAAAAGTAGATTCCACCTATGAGTAAGTAAGTAAAAAATAACTGTTAAAATAATGAAATAATTGTAAAAAAAATGATTTTTTTTAGTGTGAAAAATTGCTACTAAATGGGGGATTAGCTTGAGTTAGGCAACTCAGTACTTGTAACTATAGTCATCACGTTACTAATTTTACTGGTACTAATGTCGAACCTATTTTACACAGTGTAAAAGCACCATAAATCTATTAAATAAGAAAATAAATACCGTCGCCTATGACAATACCAACAGATGCTACCCATACCCATATTTCAACAAAAAAAAATATACGAATCCTTTTCCTTTTCTTTTTCTTTTTCTTGTCTGTGTACGAAAGGGCAAGTTTAGGCTAGACTTCGTACTTTTTGTCCTCTTCCACCAGTGAATGCCCCGAGTTTCTTTCTTAGGATGAGATCAAATTAGGACGACTCTTTAATGTATAAGCTCACGATTGGAGTTTTCCTTTGTGCTGAGGTTGCTTTTGTTAATATAATTTAAAATTTTTTGGTTCAATTATAATATAAATTAATAACCATTGTTATCATACTTGTCGAAGAGTATAAGTTTGTAAAAAGAACTATGTTCCCACATGAAGAGATTAAATTTTTGAATGAACAGGTTCAACTTGATATCGTGACAACAAACTAAGGTCTTTTATTGCAAATTCCTAATTTACTAAAGTTATGCAAGTAGATAGAAAAATAAATTCAGGACACGCTAGATTTAAATAAATGACTGTATTTTATATTTAACCTTTCAAATTTTTCAGTGAAATACATCAAGATAACTTCTTAATGAAGTAATAAATTTATCGAGTTTAATGAGAAGATCTTATTATACACTTAGCCTTTCAAACTTTTAGATGAAGCGTACATGAAAACTTCTTATTGAAGTTATAAATTTATCAGTTGTAATGAATCGACACTATGGTTTTGTATTGATTTTAGGTTGAAAATATTTTTAAAGAGAAATTAATTAACATGCTTTGTATCTAATACACATGTATATAAATTTTGCTTGTTGGAAAAAAAACCTCACGAGTGAAGTCCCTCAAATTTTTATTGTAAATAATTTTTTTAAAAAAATTCAAGTATCACATTATTTTGCCTCTCGAGTCTCGAACGAAAGACTATGCTAGGTAGCAACACTACTTCTAAACAACAGACTAGGTGGTGCTGCTAAGAACATTACCTTGAATGAAAACTTATGAAAATCAACATATGAAATAGTCAGCCTGTTAATTTATTAAAGATACAACTATGAACATATATTTCTTCTCATAATACACACAGTTCTCGTCTTATTACGTTAAGTTTCACCTTCATTAAATTCGGAACTGAAAATTCATCCTCAAATCTTAAAAATATGTAATGAAAGCATCATAGAAGTGAGAAACAATTGAAATAAATGCAAAGTATATTTTACTACATGTAAAAAGTTAACTTATAAGTGAGTTTTTAAATTAATTATTGTTATTTCAAGCACGAGGTGGCGACAACTAAGTATGAGTTGTAAAGTGAAATGTTAAGGAGGTTTAAGTTTTCCTATAAATAGAGATGTAGTGTCATTTGTAAATGGGATGATATAGATGGTAGAGAATGTAGAGTGAAGTGAGTTTATTTATTAGAGAGATTGTAAAGTTTTTCCCTTCATTTATACAAAGAAAGTTTCCCCATCTTTACTTGTTTTCTATATCTTACTTACTTCAAAGTTCTCTTCTCAACGTGGGTATAATTTAGCATCATTGGTTAAATTATTTGTGGGCGTGGAAAGGCTGACTTAACGTTTTCTCGTGAGGTGCGGGAATTGTAGAATGTTAAGGCCGCACGGTTCTAGTTTGTTCGGGTGTAACGAAACTAGGCCCGTGACACCATGCTCTAAATTTTAATGAATAAAACTCATTTCTCTGACAACCTAAACTTTTGAAACTTTTAAAATATTCAAGCAAAAGACCTATATTCAAGTTTTTCCGCCACTAAATTACAATAATCATGCACACGTCAACTTGATATAAGAATGGGTTCGTGTTGAACACGAAGTTTAAAAAATAAATATTCTCATTAATTTCTTTAGATAAATCTTTTAAATGAAGTAGTTCATCACTTGTTTCAAAATTACCTTACCACCAGGATGAACCGAATTCTCAAAATCATTAATTTCTATATGAGATAAACCACTTAAATAATTATAGTTGACATGAACTGAATTCAAAAACTTATTAAACTCGACTATGCGATTTGAGATCTTTGTAAAGAATTTTAAACGATCGTGGGCTTATAGATATGAATTATTGTGTGTTAAATTAAAGGCTATCAAATTCGGTTAATCTCGGTTAAAAGTGATATAATAAGATTTCGATATTTTGGTTTTTAATGTATTCAATTAAAATGTGAGTCTTTTATGTTTAGAGATCGGGGCAAAGTTCCTAATTTTATGACGGGTCAAATTAGTTTAAAGGACATCACTATATAAATATGGTTATAGTCCCTAGATCACACGTGCATTGCTCATTCTATTCTGTCTCCTATCACCAGAGAGAATTAAGGGCCGCTTGTTGATTTGGAAGACAAAATTGCAAGATTCAACTATTATAATCAACCATGTCCGATTCAGGTACGCTTCCACTATAGTTTATATATCTTTGATGATCCAACATGAAGATCTGGTGATTATGAAGGTAACAATTTCTCCTGCAAGTGGTATCAAAGTCCTTTCATGTTGGATCATTGAGAATCGAATAATTTTTTTGGTTCTTGCAATATTTTTGGAGTTTTCAGATTTGACAATTTGGATCTATATATTTTGTTGAATTTGAAAACTTTTCCAGTATATTTTTCGTTATTGTCTTTCACAATTTGGATTGAGGTTTAAGAAATTTTCAGATTATGGATTTTTTAAAAGAATTCCAGATATTTTGTAGTAAAATAAATTTTTTTTAGGTCAACGCGAGCTGTAGGGGCAGTAGCGCGAGACTTACAGCAACGTGCGGCGTTGCTGCCTGTAGGCCGGCACCAGAGTGCGCCACCAAGCAAGGAAGAGGCAGAAAATTTTCTTTTTAAGGGTTTTCTTTCAGTTTCAGTGAGATTTTGGGGATGGGGACTTCACATGTAAATTGATTAATTTGAGGTCCTTGCATGTAATTTCACATTAGGGTTAAAATTTAAAGTTTCGGTCCCTAAAGTTTAAAGCTTGTACAATTGGGCCTTTAAAGTTATGGGTTTAATAATTCAATCTCTAAAGTTTAAAAAATTAATTAATTCGGGCCATTAAAGGTCTAAATTTTATAATTAAAGCCCTCAAAGTTTAATAATCAATTCAAATTGGCCCTATAGTTTTGAATTGATTAATTTTTGGCCCCTAAAGTTTTAAAATTATTAATTTTGGCCCCTAATGTTTGGAATTAATTAATGTTGCCCCCTAAAGTCTTGAATTATTAACCCTTAGGCCCCTAAAGTTTCAA